TTTTAAGAGATATTTTTTCTCAGTTTACGCGTCGCTGCCTTTGTCTTTTCATTTTTCTCTCAAAGAGCAGTGTTTTTTTTTTCATTGTTCTTTGTAAATTTGGTCTCCATTTTCTTGTGTGAATTTGTGAGATTTGAGAGTAGAATAATGAACTCTTGTGTGAGTTCGTATGTGTAGTGGAAGTATTGTGAATATTTCTACTGATTTTGTGGTTTTTGCACTGCAACTCGTTCTAGCCTATTTTTGGGCGTTTTTAGTGGATTTGAGCTTATTCCTAACGGATGCTCAACGGGGATTAGGAGTTAGAAGTGGTCGCCGAACCTCGGGGCCTTTGGGCCGAAAAATCTTGTGTTCTTGTTATTTTTGATTAAGTTATTTTCTGTTCTTATTTACAAATCGAGACATAAAATCGTATTTGGGACCAACACTTCCGCATTGCATGCTTCTGGCTCTTCTAGATAGAAATGGGGTCACACACTGCCTAGCCACAGCTTATAACCCACTGACTAGTGGCCAAGGTGAAAATTCGTGCTGGGAGCCTGGGATCTGAAAAGAATCCTTGAGACTGCAGTACCTTGCACTACGATTGGTTCAAGAAATTGAACGACGTACTTGTGGCATACCTCATGGCCTTTAAAATAACTATTGGCATGTCTCTGCACTACTTGGAATTTAAAAAGGCATGTCAATTATTGGTGGAGTTGGAGCATAAGGCATATTGTGCAATTAAATCATTGAATTTTGACTTGAAAGCAGATGGTAAAAGATTCGATGAGATGGATGAGTTCAGACTGAATGCTTATGAGAATCCCCAGATTTTTAAGGGTTGCAGAGACTTGGCAAGATGAAAACATTTAGAGTAGAGAAATTATGAAGGATTTGCAAGCTCTTCTGTATAATTCCCGACTAAGGCTTTTTTTGTGGAAAGCTGCATTCTAGATGGTCTGGTATGTTCACTGTTGTTCAAGTAAAAGTTAGGGTAAATTAGATTGGTAATTAATAACTCAGTTTTATGGGATCGATACGGTATTATTTGATGTGATTTCATAAGTTTGTGATTTTCATGAACGGATCCCTCACGACGTGTCGTTATCAGGACGGATCCAATCCCCAGCCCGTTAATTTTGTTTAGTGTAAAAGAAACATATTTTTCTTGTAATTTTTTTTATGTGTAAATTTATTTATTTTCTACATATTAGCTCGCCTCGTAGTCCGGTCTTGAATCCATCTCTGATTTTTACCAATAAGTCATTATAAAAGAGGAGAGAATGTTTTACTTCTAGCAACTCCACAAGTTCACGATATATGGTAAAATTTATGTCAAAATGAATTCTTGGAAAGCCAACATAGGTTGTTCCATGATTTTCAACAAATTTATGTGAATTCCTTAGAACTTGTTCATTGTAAGTGTATACAAATGCCAGATCTCACATGGTGCAAGACTGAAAGCAAAATAATAATTGCACTTCAGCGAACAGGTCAAGTGCAAGTTTGACAAGGAAATTCATGAAAAAAAAAAGAGTTAAAATTATGTTGACAACATTAGTTCGATCAAAATTTCCATTACAAGTAGTTCCAGTCCTTTGCCCAATGAACATCTTCCAACGTATATTTTTCCATGACATTTCTTTTCCTTAGGAAAAGTAATAATACAAGAAAATGAGCCAATTAACTAGGATAAACATCTCCACGAGTTTTAGTTCAAGATGTAAATCCCATGGTGCAATACATTTTTGGTAAACAGCTAACTAGGATCAACTGTGTAAAAATTAGATGTAGCAACCTCTTAGTTTCTCACTTCAAATATTGCTCAGGTCCAGAGGGGTTCCGGACCCATGCTGAAAAAGTTTTCATCGAAAAGGAATCGTGAATTCTCGTCTTGTTGGTCTTGGGGGGAGTTTTCTTGATTCTGTAACATTTCTTGGCAGACGAATTCCACCAAATTGGCATTTTGGTATTGCATGTTTAAAATTTCAGCCTGTGATTTTGCCAGTTCTGCTTGCAGCTCACTGATTTGCTTCTGAAGTTGGCAAATTGCGCCGGCACAACCGTAAACTGGATCCCTAAGCCTGGCGTTGGCTTCATAAACCATACTATTCACAGCATCTGCTCTTTGAGCTTCAGGAAGTTCCTGCACGCAATATATATATATGTCATGTACTAATGAACATAAATAGAAGAATTTCCCCAACTAAATATTTTTGTCCCGTTTGGTCCAATCTCAAAAAACTCATTTTTTCTCAAACTAATTTCCAATAACACATTTTATGAGACCCGTAATTTTTATTAACTTTTCAACCACTTTATTAAAATCTACTTAAACACCGATTTTTAGCAAAATCAAACAGGGGCTTAACATATAATTACGTCAGTTCTTGATAGCAAATAGGAAGTCCCCATTATTTTAGAGGTGATGTCACTTGTAGTGTGTTGACGACTTTTTATTTGCTAACAAGAAGTGACATGTCTAAATTAAGGCCCTGTTTGGGAGAAATTTTAATGAAGATTTTAATCAAAATTCTAGCTGTTAACTATCAAATCAGTCACCATTTTTTATTTTCCCTCTCACAGGTGGGGCCCACAGGTTGA